GCCGATGACCCAGCAAATCGGGAAGTGCACCTGCTCCGACCAGATGTCGAGTACCTGCCGCCGAGCTGGGCTTCCTCACGTCGCTCCTGCAGTCCCACCCACTGCCTGGTCCACGCCTGCGGGGCCTACGCCTGCAGGTCCTTCTGGCTGCAGCCTTTTCTGCATCCTGCTACTGCAGCCCAAACCAGAGCTCATGAACTCACAAGGACCAGAGTTGTGCCGCCTAATTCAGAGGCCCCTGCTCTGCCGACCCAGTGCTCGAGTTTCCAGTATCCGAGTGTCTGAGTTCCTGAGTCTACGTGTCCCGAGTCAAGTGTTCCTGTGCCCCATGTTCCAGTCAGCCCCGAGACAAGTGTTCCTGTGCCCCGTGTTCCAGTCAGCCCCGAGTCAAGTGTTCCTGTGCCCCGTGTTCCAGTCAGCCCCGAGACAAGTGTTCCTGTGCCCCGTGTTCCAGTCAGCCCCGAGTCAAGTGTTCCTGTGCCCCATGTTCCAGTCAGCCCCGAGACAAGTGTTCCTGTGCCCCGTGTTCCAGTCAGCCCCGAGTCAAGTGTTCCTGTGCCCCGTGTTCCAGTCAGTCCCAAGTCAAGTGTTCCTGTGTCCCGATTCCACGTGTCCCAGTTCCCCGAGTCCTCCGAGTCCAAGTGTCCCGAGTTCGAGTGTATTCGAGTCCCCAGTCAAGTCTTCGAGTCCCCAGTCAAGTCTTCGAGTCCCCAGTCAAGTCTTCGAGTCCCCCGTCTAGTCTTCGAGTCCCGAGTGTTGTGTGGCCTTGTGGGCGTCTGGTATCCGCCCCTTGAGGGGGGGGGGGGGGGGGGGGTACTGTCACGATCTGCTCCTTCCCTCTTGACTGTGTCTCTCTCCTGCCCCGATTAGTCCAGATTGTTTTCACCTGTCCCTCGTTAACCTGCCCATGTGTTCCCAATCAGCCTCGTGTATTTATACCACATGTTTTGCTTCTGTTCCTTCGTCAGATCATTGTTGTTTGTTGTCACCGTTGTGTTTGTTCCTGCCGTTCCCGTTCAGTAATTAAATTCGTTTTTACGTTCTCCGTGCCTGCTCTTCTGCCTCCGGAACCCACCACCACACATGGTCCACCATCTCCAGCCACACATCGCGACAGTTGCCCAGGGTACAACAAAGTGTTAATCTGGCCCTGCAAGCACCCACACACATTTTAGTTTCCTTTAGTACAACAACTAAACTGAAATCTTCAAAGCTCACTAATTAACACTTTAGTATCTCCTGTGTTAAATCTGCACGGAAAGCAAAGTGTAAAAAAGTTGTTTCTGCATGACTTCCAGCGACAACAAGACTCCAGTGAGCTCCTGTAAGTAGATTCATATTTAATTGGTGGATATGTAGTAGAACCCATCTTCTCATCTATCTTTCAGTTAAAAAACCATTTCCCTAACCATATAACTTTCCATGAACTTTCTTTTCTTACTTTTTTCAGCTTTCAGACAACCGTAAGGGATGACTTCCATGCAAAACTAATAAATCTGACGCTTGTTTGCCGTGTGCCGCCTTCATCGCTGAGCCAAAACAACAAGCTGCAGTTAAGAACTTTCCCATAATTAGTTAGCCAAGGACGGACCTTTCTCTGTGCTTAAATTTGTTGTAAACATTCATTAAATGTGTTTTTATTGTGGTTTTAAATTAAACACAGGATAAAATTAAATATAAGGGCCTAAAAAGCACGTAATATGCTTCCAGTGTTTACTGCTAAATCAGGTCTTATGCACACATTAAAGAGCTATGACCTCTTACTGTTGTGTGTGCCCTTGAAATGAGTGAAAATATTTTACGTCACACCTCATGTAGATATTTGAGACATGAAACATCACTGCTGTGTTAAAAACTTGGATTCCTTTTCAACAGTTTGATGTTAAATTTTACGAAAATCGCAATTATGCAATAGTCCTTTTTAATTGAGCTTAAGAGCAAAGAAATTCCATTTTTAATGTCACTCCTGACCACCAGACACACAAACCTCAGCTGCTGCTTTGAGTTAAAAATAAAAGTGATTCCCATAAATCTCATTAGCTTCCTTCAAGCTCAGTGGCAGACTGCTTGACCTCCTATAATACATGCAGCAACACAGATCTGTACATTTTTAATTAAAGAAGCTGATATATTCCATGCAGCTGAGCATATTTAGTGCTGATGATGATTCAGCTAATCCAAACCGTGCCAGTCTAACATTGAAGGAGCTAATAAGATATTTGCTTCTGAAGTCATCTGAAAATTGTTCCAGATTGCTTTAGAGAATCTTGCGTTAAAATATGTTATGCCTAATGGAATTAAACATATATACGAACCAGATGTTTTGGTTTTCATTTTGTGCATGAGTTCTTATGAATCGTAAGACTGACTTGGACCAACCAGGACTATGTTTTCAAAGAGGGCTCAATGTTATGTCATGGGGATGTGTTAGAAGAACCCAAATGCAGACTCAGTGACAGATGTACTGATATGAACGAAACCTAAAGAAAAATTAGCTCACATAAAAGCAAAAAAACCAAACCAAACACCGCAGGCTAACAGGAACAGCTGAAAACTCCAATGAGAAACAAAGAACTATTAAACTATGGAGAGTGTGATTCTTGAGTAAGAAGAGATGGCTGACTGGTCCAAAATGTCCAGTAAAACACACGCGCTCACTCACACACACACACACACACACACACACACACACACACACACACACACACACACACAGACACACACACACACACACACACACATTTACATGTATGGACTAGAGGCCCCAAGGTCAAAGTGGAAACGAGCAAGCCAAGCTCCTGCAGGTCTTCCGGATCCAGGTGATGGTGAACCAACAAGACATTGTGGTGGTGGACAAAGAATAGAGGACAGCTGTTGTGGTTGATGCGGAAATACCAAGTGATGCATCATCAGGAAGAAGGAACACGAGAAGTTAGAGAAGTACCAGGGCCTCCAAGAAGAACTTGAGAAAGCCTGGAGAGTGAAGATATCAGTTGTGGTCATCAGGGCAGCAACCCCCATTCTGGAGGAGTGGCCAAAGCAGATCCCAGGAAAAACATCAGACATCTCAGTCCAGAAAAGTGCAGTTCTAGGAACAGCTAAGATATTGTGCTGAACCCTCAAGCTCGCAGGCCTCTGGTAGAGGACCCAAGCTTGGAAGGAGGAGACCACCCGCGGAGGGTGAAACGGGAATTTTTATACATACCAGAAGTATCAGAAGGCTCACATAAACAAGAAAAAAAATAAAACTCTATGGTAGATAAAAATGAAGTTTATTAACAAACACAAGTCAAATCTTCAGATATAATTAAAAACTAATAACGCCCAACCGCCGTCGCCTGCTGGAGGCGTCCGGCTCCGCCTGTGAGCCCCTTTATGAGGAATTGCTTTAATAAAATTGTTGAGAAAAGGTGAGATAGTGTTACCTGATAAGTTAACATTTTTTTAAAAGAAAGTCAGCCTTCTGTTTCAAAATAAAGTAAAAAAAAGTTTAAAAATATTGGCAGCTTGTAACATTTAACAATACAAATTAGGTCTAAAATAAACGGGCGACGCCATGCCAGGTTTCCTTCTATGGGAGCCCATGAGGACAAAATGCATTTACTGATTTGTAACAAATGATTACAAAACTTTCAGCACTCATAAATGTTTTACTCATTTACCTCTTCAGTTGTTGCCAGTGATGAAAGGGAGTCTGACGTGTTTGTCATTTTGTTGGAGGAATTTTTGACCCTATCCGTTGGTAAGGTCTTACTCGAACACAAAAATACTGCTTGCTTGCTTGTTTTTAGGTATGCACTGCCCCCTATCCCCTGGAGATCCTATTGGCTACTTTTGCTGCAGCATCCACAACAGAGTTTAAAGGACTTTTGATCCTTCATAATAAAATGTACACAAGTACCCAAAACATCTAATGTCTGTGAAAAAAAACTGTTTATTAATGTTGTTCTCTGGTAAAACTTAAATGATTTATTTGTTATTTTTCACACACTGTCATACAGATAAAGATTAAGTGAACAATGTTGCATGAATGGCTGTGAAAGATTGGAGATGGAGCTGCTGTGCTATGTCAAGCCGTTAGCCTATCAACCTAAACACTGTTACAAATTTAGAAAACTACATGTGTCAGGTGGCTTAATTAATAATTTTAGATAAATTATCTAAAAAATACGTCAAAATAGCAGAACACTCATTTGTTTTTGGAGGGTTAATAAAAAACGATCAATTCTCACCAGAGTCCCGCAGCAGTACTGCGCTCTGACGCAGAGCGGCGCAGTTCCCCGACAGGTGCGTCTGTCCCCCTCCCGCACCTTCACATCTCAGCGCTGCTGCTGCTTCTTCTGGCTGCTGAAGCCCACTCCTCCTCCTTCTTCTCCTCCTCCTCCTCCTGCTGCTTCTTTCTCACAGGCAGAACCGACTTGATGCGCATAATAAATCATCTCTGCAAGATCCCTCTCCAAGCCCAGTTTCAGAAGGACGCTTGTTGGATTTTGGAGCGTAAACAGTGGCGAGCCTCGTAACAGAGGGGATGTTTTAAATGTGACTCAGTACTGCAAACAACGTGGGTGTGGGTGTGTGTGTGCTCTCGTTATTTCTCTGTAGGGAGTGGAGGAGGCAGAGCAGCGATATGAAACTCGTGGCTTTCAGCCTCCTGCGTTCCGCTCCGTCTGCGGCTGGACTCACGCTCACCTGTATGAACGACCTTGCAATTGTGACCGAAATTTTCCTAACGAGGTTTCCATGGAGGATCAGTGCGTCTTCTTTTTTGGTCTGAGGGCTGGTTTTTACTCCCGCTGGTCTCAAGACACCTCAGGATAGGAGGTAAGAAAAACAAGAGGAACCAGAAAAGAAAAAAAGAGCATGCATTACATTTTCTTTTTTGTGCACATTTTCTCAATTTAACCAGTTCACGTGTCTAAAGAGCCCCTTTTCTGAAATGCCCTGTAATTTCAAAAATGCCCTCCAAATTGCTGCCTCTGCAACCTTTTTATTCCTTCACAACATCAAAACTGTTTGTGTGTCAGCCGTTTCTTTGTCAGAGAGATGTAGGGATGCAGTCAAAGCCACATGCTGGTGTTTTAGCCTCTGACTTGCTCCTGGTGTGCTGCCACACACTGCTGCAGCCAGGCTGCACATCGCTGTGAATTATATTAACCCACAGGACATCAGCCATTGGATTGTTGAAGATGAGCCTCAGGTGGGTCTGAATCCACAGTCTCCTGTGAGCAAGAAATCAATTCAGTTGAGTGATGTTCGTTCCGAAATATTTAAAGGCGAAACCACTTTTAGAGAGCCTTGAAGTACCAGAGATAAAGTACTGGTAGTGGAGGGAGTAAAGGTGCTGACACACATTTATACGCAGCACTTCTACCTTGTAACATTCTCCAGGTAATTGCATGCTTGTGTGCCACATTGTCAGCTTGAATAGCTGTGATGAATGCAGCTCAGGCCTTCAAACAAAGTGCACTCCCACTCTTCCAGCTGGGCTGTTTGTTCAAGCAGTACCTTACTTTGATGTGGGGTTATAGATGTGTTTATGTATTATTATGTTCTGTCACTTAACCCTGGTATCGGTTCACGATTGGCGCTCCTTGATTGAGAAGTGAGTGATTCACCCCCGTTGAGCTTCCTTCCCCTCCACCTTCCACCATTACCCAGGAGCTGAAAATGTGTGTGTTTGTGTGTGAGTGTGGGTGGATGGGCACCTGTGTGCCTATTTCAAAGTGTGTAGCTAAAACTGAACACAGCATTTGTAAATGACTGATTAGATCTGCATTTAAACCAAAAAAAGAAAGAAAACACAACAGTATTTGTTATTTTGGCTCGATTCCTGGATAAGAAGCATTCCAAATCCAAACCATAACATGCAAAGTCGACAGGAGTTTAGACTGCACCCTCATCACACCGATCCTCAGTCTTGAGGTGCCAGCAGTTTGCACGCTGTGAGCCTATCGCTGAGGTAAGGCATGCAGGACTCTTCTGGAGAGCAAGCGTACCAATCCAATTTGGAAGACTTTAGAAGGGGGGTGAAGAAGCATGGACTGGGCCAACATGAAAGGTAAAGAAGAAAATCCTGGCTGAGACCCCACATGTCTGATTTGACATCCAGGCAGCTGACAAACAATTAGGTTTTCCATAAGTAGTCCTCTGAACCAGGAACCAGGCTCGCCTCAGGATTAGGCCACAAATGAGCCGCGCATCATGGCTTATGTCTCCGAAATGGTAAGGGAGTGTACATTAGTGTGTGTGTGTGTGTGTGTGTGTGTGTGTGTGTGTGTGTGTGTGTGTGTGTGTGTGTGTGTGTGTGTGTGTGTGTGTGTGTGTGTGTGTGTGTGTGTGTGTGTGTGTAGGCCACCCGTAATAGTGTATGGTTAGAAAACAAGTTTAGTGTGTAGGTGTATGTGGGTTGTGTGACATTCAGCAGATGGATACTATTATCAGCCCCTGGTCTACCTTGAACACCTCTTAAGGAAATTTTGTGCACAGACAAGCCTTTTCATGCCGGCGGCGCCATGCAGGTGCAAACTGATGTACTCGAATCTGCATACACTCTCCTCTCCCGTGCTGCACTGCTCTCTTAACTGCTGTGTTATTGCCTGTTCGCCATTGTGTGTATGTTTGACATTTCATAATTGCATCATTACTTGCTCAGTGCATCGCAATTTGCAACACATGCTTCGAGCAGACAAACTCTTGCCCTTGATTATGGACCTGAGTGGAATGGGTTCCTCATCAGGCTGTCTTGATTCACCCCAGCATGTGGGGAGACACATGCTGCTGTGGGTGAATCTAATTGATTGGATGGCACCCAATTCCCAGGTCCAAGTCTCCTCCGGCAGCCAGAGAGTGGATCCGTCCAAGTGAAGGATGAGCCTAGGCGTTGGTTGCTTCGCTAATAGATTGGCACGAATTTCCTCTCATATGCCTCTGGTGTCACTCTCAGACATCTTCGAGGGCAGGTTGGCCAAAGTTTGGGGCACAACGAGGCCAACAAAGTTTTCTGTAATCTTTCCACAGCTATAGGAATCATGTACATGCTTCCATTTCTTTCCGCAAAGGCTTTTTAAAGACCTAATAAATAAAAGCTGAGGGATATTGGGTATTTAACTTCAAAATCCTCGTTTCAACAGGTCACCCTCCTTTCACTCTGAGAAGTGCCATTTCAAAGCTTATTGGATGAAAGTCTCATTTACCCCTGGCTGCCAAAGATGACGCTGCCATGGAAACTGCTTCTATTGCTATCAATCATCGACCGTCTGACAGGTAAAGCACCTTTTTAGATGAGTAACGATTTTTTTTTCACGTTCGGACATTCACAGTGTTGGGACGGCAGGTGAAGAGATGTCAGCGATGATAGGAGGACGCGGCTTAAAGGAGCACTCCTCACTATTGACGTCCGTTCACAGCGCAGACACAATGCTCTCAATCTTCTTCCTCACTCCGCTGAGATTATAACCTGATGATGAGATACGATGCTTTTATTCTGTAATCTTTTCCTTGGCAAAAGCATTCCCCTCCATCATAGTAATGCTTTCTGTTAATAGGATTCACGACGTTTTCATTCAGCAGGAACAAAAACAATAAATATGGAACATAAAGCACAACATGTTTGTGATGACTGAATTCAGATTTTTTTTGTATGTTGGCATGCACAACCTTTCTTTTTACTCGCAGAGATGCATATCCTCTGATATTTTTGTGTAAATGCATGTTGTGCATTTAGAATAAAGGTTTTAAAGATAAAGAAATTACCTTCAGTGGTTCTCATGAGCTTTTAACTCCTTTTTCCATAAATGCACAGGGAATAATAATGGTCAAAACAACGTTTCATTCTGTTTGATTTACTTGTTTGTCTGGCAGATTGTATGGACAGTGGATCATACCATGGACCTCGCTGGAGAATGGAGCCAGGTGACTTGTTTATCCCTGTTGACTCCATTGAAGAAGAAGCCACCTTGACTTGTGACGCGAAGGGATCGCCTCCTCCTCAGTACAGGTAGGAGCGTGTTCACACAAAGGTCCTAATGCCCAAATGTCGCATGATTGAAGCTCAGTGGTGGAGTAAATATTACCCCGGCTTTCTACCGGACATGCAGGCGTGATATGCAGCTGGAATTCTGGATAATGGGTGTGTTTCCACCAGGCACGTGCCAGACGCGTCGCAGAAGCGTAGTGTTATTTTGCACTTCAGGTTTATTTTTTACGCTCTACGCTTCCAGAAATCATCAGTCTAAGCAGTTCAGATCAGGCCAGACAGGAAGTGGAACACCAGAGCAGTGTAGAACAAATGGCCACTTTCAAAATAAAAGACACAGCCAGATTTTCTGTTGTTTCACTAATGAAAAACATACTTCATGACATGTGTCACCTTCGTGGCCGAGGTAAAAAGAACAGAAAAGAAACTAAAGACCTTTTGGATATGTGCTGCTGTATTTCTCCTTGCTTGTTATCACCTGAATTGGTAAAATCGTGCATGACCTTGCAATAAATGAGACTGGGACAAGCTGCCTGTTTGCGTCTGAAACGCTCTGCTCTCCTGAGGTTTGTCTATTACGTCACGTGCCACTTACGCATCCGGTGAAAATGCTATTCCGAAGGTCCATTACTCATAGAGGTATCAGATTTTGGGTAAAACAACAATGTTTGCACTCTTAGTTGTCTGAGATTGTATTCTTCTACATGTAAAAATGAGTCCGTGCCCTAAAATGTGCAGTCATATATCAGATGACAAAAAGTGATGCAAACGAGCGTAAATGTTGCCAGGCAAACTCTTCTATCAGGGATCTCTAAAACATGTAATGGTGTTCTAATGAAGCTGATCTTTACGGTGAAAACATATTTCTTAGGAAACTTCTTTTATTCAATTCAATGTTATTTATTTAGTGCCAAATCACAACAAGAGTCGTCTCAAGGCACTTCACACAATAAACATTCCAATTCAGGTCAGTTCATTAAGCCAATCAGAAAAAAAAATGTTTCCTATATGAGGAACCCTGCAAATTGCATCAAGTCACTGACCTTTTAAAGGTGTGGTTGACTGAAAACCCGTTTAATGATTATTTCTCATTCTAATCAGTCACTCAGGTTGAAAACAGTCACCTACACCTTTCTCTTGTGTTAACTTCTGATAGAAAATAGATGGTGAAATCCTAGGATTTGAAAATCCTCACATTGTGATGTCACATTGAAAAAATGCATTCATGGCCTCACCCATCTTGGCTCGCGCCTGCCCCCAGGAAAGACTTTTTTTTAAAATTGCAGTGGGGAGAGAGAGCGGAGAGTGTGTTGCTGATAGTGGCTTTGCAACATGGCTGAATGTGCTCTGTTAGCCAATCAGAAGCAAGGTGTGTGCACATCAATATTAATAATGAGCAATCTTGCTGTTTTCAGCTTACCTCTGCACCAGCAAACTTCTGCTTCTCAGAACAAGAGCATTATGGCTTTTTTAACGACTCATAAGGCATTGATTTACACTGGAGAACACTGCAAATGTATTAAATAAATGAGTAAACCACACCTTTAAACCTAATTGGCATAAAATTAACTGAAATATATCACTGACTGTTTACTCAGCTCCTGTTAACTTTTTTAATTACACAAGTTTATATATACTGTATCATGTATATGCATATCTGATGCAGACTGATGTAAATACATCAGAGAACAAACACCTACATGGTTATTTTGGATATTTTCTTTCCAGTAATCTGAAAGCAGAGACATTTAGGACACAAAATAGCCTCAAATCCCCGGAAGCTGAACAACAGACTCTACCTTGCATCCAAGTGATAAACTTATTTAAAATTATACCCCTACTTAAAAAAGAGAGAATAATTTAGTCCGTTTGCAGCTACTCAATCAAGCAAAGTCAATTTCAGACATTCAGCAGCAGAAATAAAGCTTGTTAATTGCAAGAGTTTAGTTTTTCTTGGAAAAGAAATGTGCTTTCTCCTCTATTCATTCATCCTAATTAGATTGAAATGCACATGGACACTGGGAGCTGTGGTGCCATTATGGCTTTACTAACTCATATTGACTAACGCAGCACCAATCTGCCTCTCCTCTCACCAGAGAGCCTCTTAGAGACACACATGCAGCATCTTAATGACGGTCTCCTTTTAGAAAACACCACGAGAACAATGCAGGTTGCTAGACACCAGTCGGCACTAACGGGCTCTGATTACAATCACCTCTGGCGTTCAGTGCTGCATTTACTGCAGCGCGACTGGGACATGTGAGCTGCATGGTAGAGCTGCAGAGTGCTTTCACTCATTATTTCAAGGCTTTGTATGCTCTCCACCTAAGACCAGGTATTTCCATGCACTGATTAAAGGTGAGATGAGCGTGTTTGACGTGGTGTCTCGTCAGGCTGGCTTCTCAAGGATCTGCATGCACCTACCCACCTCTCTGGCTTTGCTCTTGAAGTGTAAATGGGCTCACGTTGCTCCCTCAGCCCATCCTCTCTCGTCCTTTTTTTTTCTTCCTCCTGCCACTTCTGTCACTCACATAAATATCAGGCTGTTATACTATGCACATAGTAGCAGCAGCAGCATAAAATTTCATAGAAAAAAGATCATCTCTTTTTTTTTCTTTGTGGGGAAAAGCATCTTCTCAAGAAGCTTCAAAGCAGTCTGAGTTTCATTAACAAACCTAAACAAAAGGAAACAAACAATCACTTCTGTTGTACCTTTGTAATGACAAAAAGATTTTAAATCTATGGCTTCTACCCAAAGATCACTCAACTGTAAAAGATTACTTTTAAAGGTGTGGAAACTCAGTTAATCGATACATTTTCAGTGGTCTCTGTTAGGAATGATTGCTTTGCAAGTGGTACTTGGGGCTAAAAAAGCCCAGAATTGCTTGGATTAGCACAGACAAGTCTTCTGCCGCTGACAGTGGCAGTAGACAGCAGGACTTGGAGTCTTGTTTACTATTATTTGGACATCTGGCCTCAGGTTGTACACAGCAACGTGACTCTACCACCGACTTACAACGTGGATATTTTATCTCCACAAATACAACAATCCTGGAGGAGTTTTTCTGTGTGGTGGTGTTGCTATTGCTAACAGTTAGCTTTCACTAGTCAGGACGCTGTCTGCTGATTCCTGGATGAGTTCATGAATGTCCTAGAATTTTATCGTCTATTTTCTCTCAGAAGCTAATGCAGGAGAGAGGTGTAGGAGACTATTTTCATGTTCAACCTGCATGAAAATTCCAGTGACTGATTATAATCAGAAATAATCATTAAAAAATGGTTTTTCAGTGAACCACACCTCCAGCCATTTTGAAGTGTTTTTCCATGCATGTGGATATCTTTCCAAATGGTCTGCATTCAATTAAAAATCGATTTTATGTCCTTAAGAACTGATGGGCTAGTGGGGCTAATCTAAGCATTGTCACAACCAGAGCTGTATTTTAAAATGTTGGACTAGCTGTTAGCTTGTCAATCCCAGTGGAAGTAAACTTTTGTTCCAAACAGAAGCCATTCAGGACCGTTTCCTCCATGGCCGTACCATAGCATATAGTTATGATGTAAATTAACATGTGTGTTTTAAAAAGGTCGAATTGTGAAATGTATTACTTGATGCTACAATGCCTTTATGGTCCCAAATGGGAACAATTATTTATTAGATTTGCCGAAGGTTGTAGCAACATACTCATACTGGCAGCATTAAACACAGTTCATAGAAAATAAAAGATAAAGAAAATAGTTCACAAATAAATGGACACATTCAAAACAATGTTTACATTTCCTTTAGATAACAGCTCTTAGGGATGTAAGAAAATATCGATATGGCAATATGTCGCAGTATTTTTTCCTGTGATATTAGATCGGTATTCAAAGTCATGTATCCAATTTTTGGAAGAATTTACATGCAAACATTTGTGTATTTTCTTTTCTTTTGGTGTAATTCAAATGCCGACCGCTAGTTGGCAGCAGTGTGCAACGGGGTTTTATTTCGACCATTAAAATGTAAATCCCTCTATTATGGTTCAGATACCTCATGTTAAGCGTGTTACGCATCAGTTTGGACTGTTTATTGAATTTTCCCACAATACATTCAGTCTAAAAAATTTGCTAATTTCGTCTGGTTGAATGTATCCCAACATATCGTGATATATCGTATCATATTGCCAGAATTTCACCGGTACAGTACCCTAACAGCTATATCACATTTCTGTCTAAACTGAGTAAGATGGCAGTTTTATCGTCTTTTACTCACAGACATGTTTCAAAATGCAAAAAGGCCTTTTCTCTGTAGTCAGATGTTCTGACAAGACATTTTTATGTTCAAAGCAGAGTGATTCATTTTGTTTTGTTGCCAATCAATCATGGCAGCACAGAGCAGCAGAGGCTCTTCAGAGCAGGTCGAGAGGAGGTGAAAGTCACGTCTGAGGGTTAAAAAGCTTGATGCACGTGAGTTAAAGACACCTACTCACTGGCTTGCTTCACTGATCCATCAATTTCTGTTAGTGTTTGCTTTACAGACATAACGTATAATCAGAAATACTGTATACAGATTTAGTAGTAGTTATTTTGGAGGTTGAACTTGAGACATTTTAGAAATTCTTCCATTATGCCTCTTTAATTCCTTAGGTTTATAAGAAAAGAGAAGAATGGGGCTGGTTCTTAGAGAAAAAGGATGGAGCATTCTCTAAAAGGGCTCTGTCCTTGAATCCATATTCACACAGTTTTAAGTTGAATTTAAAAAGGGAGATGCCTCGTCTGGCGGTGGCGGAGAATTAAGAAAAAAAGCATTTCCTCATTAAATAATGAGACTCGTTTTAATCAATGAGTTAACCCCGTGCCTTTGAGAGTTCATTCAGGCACCTCATTTATTTGATTGTGCAAATCTGCTGTGCAAATATTTTTGTTCCAAATTCCCATGACTGCAAATTGTGGGGAGGATGTAACAGAGGGTGCAGAAGCCTTCTTTGTTACATCAGCTCGCTGTTACCTCTTGCCAAGTGCTAATGTTTGGCCCTAATGAAAAG